CAGCAATGACTGAAAAAAAAAGAAGAAAACCAATACGTAGACTCAGAATTCCACCGATAATTGGATGTTATTGGAAGGAGCTCTCATACACTTCCCCAAGAATCTTCACCGAGAGTCACCCTCTGCTTTCTTTATCTGGCCCAATGCATGGCGCAGTGCTGCTGCCGCTATCTTCCACAACTCCCACGTGCCCATTGTTTTATTAAAGTTTTTTTTACTTTGCTTTTTAGGGGCTTCGGGGAAATATTAGGGATCTAAACAGACCCCTGGTATTTCCCTTTTAAAATAGAAAAATAGATTGAGAACACAGAGTCCTCCATCTCTTATGCTGCATCCCCTGTTATCAATGATCAGGAATCCTCTATGAGTGTTCCTGTTCATTGATAACATGAGGACAGAGCATGTTTACTATAACCACAATCATGAATGAACAGGAGGTGATGTAGACCGCTTCCCATTCATTCATAATTGAGAATATAGTAAACATACTATGTCCTCAATTATTTACAAACACTCATCACTGATCGTCGACTCGCTCTCCATCCTGACTGGCTGGCTGTCACAGGAGGCTGAGCGAGCGGTGCAGGGAGGAGAGCTCGATCTGACAGCTGACTTCTTCCCCGCATCTCTGGCCGGCCTCCTGTGACAGCATCGAGAGCTGTCTCCGCCCACACACCACTCTCCTGATCTGTCACAGGAGGCTAAGCGGTGTGGGGAGGAAAGAGACCGGCCGCTCACAGCGTTTTCCAACCCGCAGCGCTCGGCCGCCTGTGACAGTTTCTCTCCTCCCCGCTGGGACACAGGGCAGCGTCTAGAGAGGAGGAGAGAATACACAGATGTGCCGCTTTATCGGCAGAAAAATTGCACTTTTGCCATTTTGGCAAAAGTGCCATTTTCGGCCGATGTATCGAGGCATCTCCAGTATGTACCAATGCATCCATATGGAAGTTGGCCCAGCTCCTCTGCCACTCACCTGCTTCTTTAAGTAGCTGCTGGAGGAGCAATGATGGCGGCTCCAAGTCCACTGGGGCTGCTGACATCACATACAAGATGGCGCCATCCCACACAAGGCAGGCTTTCATGCTTAGGTAACATAAATAAAATTCATTACATGCACATATAATCTTACGGGACGATTGTTGATGACATGAATAATCCGGCGACAGGGTCGCTTTTAATCCTGCTTCACTTAAAGTGTAAGTAATACCTCTGAGATCCAGCTCTACCTGAAACCAAATCAGGCAAGAGAGGTGACAGGGCCTTCCGGTGACCTTTCCTTTGACCCCCTCCCCAACATTCAAGTTGAAGAGTCAGGCTCTAAGGACAAGCTCACACCAAGCAACTTTATATCACTTTAAAGCTGCAGGGCCAGCCTTAGATAGATAGATATATATATATATACACACTGATACCAGAAATAGCCCAGCCATGACTGGGGCACTTTCCTCGGTGACAGGTTCTCTTTATCCCCTTTAGTTATGTAGTGAAAGGGTGAGAATAAAAAGGGGCTCATTCCAGACCCCCCTCCACAGCACAGACCCGTCTCCTTCACTCAACCGGCCCCAGCCCACTCTCACCTTCACCGCATAGTCTATGACCCGCTTGACACCGACCAGAGCCCGCAGCGCCATCTTTCCTGCCGCCTGTGTGACACCGACCCGAGCCGGAACCAATCAGCGTCTCCAAGAGCCTGCCGACCAATCACCTTCTTCTCCTGCCTTCGCTGCCGTCCAATCACGACTCAGAGCTCCGATAACATGCCGCATGCTTCGGTCGGCTTTGCGACCTATCGCTGGCTCTGACGTTTTGCAAGACTCGACGTGAGAGGTGGAGCTAAGGGGGAACCTGAGCGGCCATGATTAAAATGGGCAAAGCTATGGGCAAGGTCTTTTAAGGTCAGGGCATGTCAGCCTTGTAAAAGATATGTGTCATCATGTTTTCTGTGCACAGGTGCTGCAGGGATTTCTCAACCTATATAAAAATGTTGGTGAAAGTTTATTTTACAAAATGATTGCTGGGTCTTTCTCAAGCATAGAAAAACTTTTGCAAAGAAAGTATGAAATCCGGACCCATGGAGACCCCATGTGACAATTTAATTCCTCCTGAACTTTTATTTATATGAAGAAAAGCATCGCCAGAGGAGAATAGCCCTGCGGCACAACCAGTCGTCTCATTTGAACACGTCCAGATGTGCCTTCCATCTAGGGTTGCCACCTGTCCAGGATTCACCCGGACAGTTCGGGTTTTGAATGCTGTGTCCGGGTTTCATGGCAGCAGAAACCCGGACACATGATGTCAGTCAGACAGGGGCAACCAAAATTAAGATAGGGGCTACTGGCCCCCCCACTGAAAATAGTCTCAACTGTGATATTTACACATAAATGGGTGGCGCTATTTACAAATGATTAAGCCACGACTCATTCTCCCCATAAAAATGTCAGCGCGTCGCTTGAGTGTTCGGGTTTCGCTTGAAGAAAAGGTGGCAGCCCTACTTCCATCTGCCCATTACTTCCAACAACTTCCTGGATTCCCAGTGTGCTTTGCATCTCTTTCCCTGCTGCTTGATGTGATGCAATCTCCATTTCTCAGGACCACATATACCATCATGCATTGCGTCCAGCAAGCAATGATGATGTTACATTGTTCAGATGGTAAGCTCTGTGAGAGTGGTGACAAAAGAACAGCTGATCTTTTCCGCATTACGGACTCAAGATGACTTGTTTTGCACGCTATGCAAAGGCCGCCATCTTGGTAGAGGCAGGGCTTTGCTTATGTCAGAGCTGCCTCTCTGATGAGTGGCTGATCAAAAAGAAGCAGCAGAAGGAGTGGAGGAAGTGCACAGATCCACAAAATAATGGAAGCAGGGAGATCCTTGCACCGCATATGCTCGGGTGCAGCTTCCTCTCCACGAGGGAGAACATTGAGCAGCACTGTAGTGTCAGCATCAGAGGTGATACTTTGTTTATAGCTGAGTCAGCCCTGGGATGATGCGATAGCGCAATTTATATCTTTATAACAGTTTTCTCCCTGGGGACTCAAAGTGCAATACCTGCTTTTGGGGGTAGATGGTGAGGCAGCCATCTTGGGCATGCTCAGTAAAATATCACACTAGGGCCAGATATCCTATCAGTAAGTCTTTGGTGTATGGGGGGAAACCCGTGCAAGCACAGGCAGAACAAACATGCAGGGTCCATACAGGTTGTGTCCTGACCAGCACTTGAACTACGGACCTCAGTGTTGGGAGACAGAAGTGCTGACCACTGTGTTGCCCATCTACCCACCATTCCTGCCAAGGAGTTGAAGTTACTCCCACCTGCGAGTTTTGGTTGTTGCCACCCAACTTTATTTGTCTTTAATTTCTCCATCATATAAAATAAATAAAAAATCCATCAGGGATGATGGGGGCCCCTCATAATGGGCCCAAAAGGTATACAGTAGGTATGCACCAATACTAGTATCGGTATTGGTGCCAATACCGATTATTATACCGAGTACTCATCCAAATGCTCCGATACTTACCCCCGATACCCGAACGTCTGGTCAGAGGGAGATTTCCTCTGACGGCAGTGCCGCAAAGGAATATGGAGCCAGCTTTCCGGCCAATCAGGAAGCCGGGCGTCGGGTAATGACTCGCTGCCCAGCTTCCTGATTATCCAGGAAGCCGGCTCCATGCTGATTGGCCGGCTCCATGCTGATTGGCTGGGAAGCTGCCAGCCAAACAGCATGGAGCTGGCTTCCCAGGCAATCAAGGAGCCGAGCGGCATGTCATTACCCGCTGCAGGTTTCTTCATTGCCCAGGAAGCCGACACCATGCTAGGGGAAGTACCGGTATCGGTACTCGGTATCGGCGAGTACCGATATATAAATATCTGTACTCGTACTCGATACCAACAAACTGGTATCGGTGCATCCCTAGTATACAGACCAGAGAACTCAGCACAGGGATGGTGGGAATCCCTCATAATGGGCACAGTAGGTGTACAGACCCAGTCACTCAACTCACGGATGGTGGGAACCCCTCATAATAGGCACAGCGGGTGTACAGACCCGGGAACTCAGCACACGGATGGTGGGAACCCCTCATAATGGGCACAGCAGGTGTACAGACCCGGGAACTCAGCACAGGGATGGTGGGAGACCCTCATAATGGGCACAGCAGGTGTACAGACCCGGGAACTCAGCACAGGGATAGTGGGAGCCCCTCATAATGGGCACAGCAGGTGTGCAGACCCAGGAACCCAGCACAGGGATGGTGGGAGACCCTCATAACGGGCACAGCAGGTGTGCAGACCCAGGAACCCAGCACAGGGATGGTGGGAACCCCTCATAATAGGCACAGCAGGTGTACAGACCCGGGAACTCAGCACAGGGATGGTTGGAGACCCTCATAATGGGCACAGCCAGTGTACAGACCGGGGAATTTAGAACACAGGCAGTTTAATTCTTGGGCATTTATTAAAACACAAAATCTGTTTTGGTTGGACATATCCTTTTTTATTTCGTATATATTTGAGACCAAATGAAATGCTTTGACACAAGTACATTGACATTAAATGTGACTGATTCATTAATTATCGGAAGACAAGTAACCTGTTGGCTGCAGCAGATAACCCAAAAACAAAAAATAAAGTCATACATTGCAGCTTACCAGCCCTTAGATGTGACGGCTGCATTAGTTTTCCTCTTTATAAGGCTTTTTTCCCATTTATTAGGCTTTTTTCTTTTATTTTCAACCGGTGATGCTTCCTGTCCTAGGGTGACAACGCTCATTCACCATTCTGTATCTCCTGAAGAGCAGAGTTGTCACCTTAGGCTGCTCTTCTAATTTGGACTACAAAAACACCCCCTCCCCTCTTCATCTCTGTTATATGAAGAGGAGGGGGTAGTTTATAACTAGGGATGAGTTCAGATTTGGACCGATCCCGGTCCGAACCTGAGCTTATCCACACATGGAAGCTACATGGACCTGCCGCCCAATCAGCTGTGGTTTGGGGCATTCCCCTGCTCCGCAGCTGACTGTAAACAATTGGTCGGGATGCTTGTGCCAACGTCATTTGCCTTATATGGCCACATGACCATATTAGGTAAATGTCTAAGGCTTATGGCCATATAAGGTTGATGACATCACTGCTGTGGGTGGGGGATTCCCTGTCCGCAGCTGACTGGGCGGCACAGGAGGAGTATCCTTCCACGTTCGGGGGAGCTCAGATTCGGATCAGGTTCAGTCCAAACCTGAGCTCATCCTTATTTATAACTGGGAAACAGGATAAGTTACAAGGACTATCGGGACCAACAGGTATTTCATGTACTTGCAGAAAGAAAACGAATGCAGCCGCCTCATCTAAGAACCGGCGAGCTGCAATATGTTAAATATTTGTTCTTGGGTTTAAATATATGTAAAGTTTGTAACTTATACTAGAAAGAAATGGTAGAATGTGATTGGTGGAAAGAAGCGGCGCAATATTTTTTTTCCCCTTTTTGTTATACAATTGACATAAATGGACAGCAGGGGGCGACAGACTCCCCTCTCCCTCCCAATAGCTGCTCATCGGAGAAGTTCCAAGAGTTATCCTCAGCCATTGACGACGTCTCCTGCTCACATGGATTCATATTCGGCTCGTGGTGTTGCTTGGTGCGCCAGGATGTGAGACGTTGCTGGACAGAGAAAAAGAATAAATGAATGTCTGCAGATTTTTTTTTTTTTTTTAAATTAAACTTTATAGAACGTGGCGCTGGCTTTTATTTTTCCAAACAAATTTTTGGTGTTTCAGATCTATACAATTCGCTGCGATTGATTTCTGATGTGTAAGAGATCATGTAAAGCCTTGGCTCTCAACTGGTGGGTCGTGACCCAAAAGTGGATCACGACATGCTTTCCACTTTTCTAGGTGAGAGGCTCCTCTGCCTCCCCTTAGCGCAGCACTGTCAGTTCTCATGCCCGATGCAGAGTGTCAGCTAGGGATGGGACTGTGGCCGTGAGGGAACCCCATCCATACGTGCATTGCTTACAGCTCCCTCACGTGTCCTATTGAGGTGCCTGGACCAGAGTGACATCACATCCTGGCTCCCAGAACCTCTACAGGGTGTGCAAAAGAGCTGTACAAGCAATGCACATATGGATGGAGCTCTGTCACAGCACAGCAGCCCACACTGGACCCCCAGCTGAGGATCCACTCCAGTTCTCGTAAGGTAGGGAGACTGGTTGGACCTTAAAAAACGTTTTTTTTAAATTTTGGAGCGTGTATGCGTGTGTGAGATTGTGTCTGTGGTTGTGTGTGTCTGTCAGTGTTTTTGAGGGCCCGTTCACACTAGTACCGTGCAATTAACGCATTGTACCACGCAATCGCACCTACCGTGCATTCTGGTGCGGGAGGTGTGTTGCATTGCCATTCATTTGTATGGTATCCCAAACGCACCTCCCACCCACATTTCGTACCCTCGCACTGGAACACGCGGTACTCTAATGCAGCGCGTTCCATTGCAGAGCGACTTGGGTCGCGACTTCATGACCAAGGACAAATGTGGGTCCTGAGGTTACACAGGTTGAGAACCACTGACGTAAAGGGTAACAATGGAAATAATGTTTTCTGCTAGAAGCTGGCAGAAGCAGACACAGACAGCTCTCCGCATCATTATAATCTACACCAGGGGTGGGCAACCTCAGCATTCCAGCTGTTGTGGAACTACAAGTCCCATGAGGCATTACAAGACTGAAAGATAGGGCTGGATTTCCCACAAGGCCAACCAAGGGCCCGCCTCGGGGCAGCAGGGGTGTGGAATTCCTATCTACCGATGCTCGGGACATGCAGTTGCTCCAGGCAAGCGCCTTGTTTGCCTCGCGGCAGATACGCCCCTGATGCAGTTATGGGTGCCGGGCGGGTGAATAGTCTGGAGAAGGCCGGAGAAGTGAACAATCTAGGGTGTCATAGCTGAACTGGAAAGTTAGCTGAATTGGAGAATTTTTCCAAATCTGCTATGTTGACCTAGATTGTTCACTTCTCCTCCCTTCTCCAAACTCTTCAACCTTTTGTAAATAACACTACAAGAAAGGGACCGTCTGAACAGGACTGTCCCTTTAATGAGGCCTGGCATCTCTTTCGGTCACGGTGAAGGGGTGGCAAGTAGAGCAGCATGGCCGCTCTCTTGCACAATGTTTGCGGTGTGCATGCTGCACCCTTTTCAGCTAGAGTGTCCCAGGTTGCTAAGACCCTTGCAAGGAGATATGTAAGGACCATACACCTCTCTTCGCCCAGCTCTTAGCAACTTGGGATGCTCTGGCAGACGTCCCGCCCACAGCTCCTGGCAACCAGTGATTTCACCGGTTGCTAGGAGCTGGGTGAGATGCCAGCCAGTGCGTCCCAGGTTGCTAAGAGCCAGGCTCCGCAGAGGGCGGCATGTACCACCACCCTCAACATCCTCTCTGCCGCCTTAGGTAGCAAAAAAACTGGGACATCACTGCCTCTGAAAGTCAACGGTGCTGGGAACCGTTAGTGATGATCTGCACTGCACAAAATGCTGCTCACACCACCCTGGACCTGCGCTTGCAGCTCTTAAAACAAAAAGCTGGATTGGGAAAGAGGGCTGAAGTGTTTTAAAGGTACACTTAGCATGTATGGCAATGATATTACTTAATGCCATTTCCTTCCCAGTAGATCAAATCAGAGACATTGCTCACAACCAACCTGCAACAATGGTTAGCAAGCCCGCGGTCCAGCAGAGGAAGAAGGACCACTCGAAGTTGAAGGAGCTGTTCAGGACGTCATGAGCCGTTTCCGATGTGTACACGACCATTCCGATAATAAGGAACATGGCTGTAATAAAGAAATGACAAGGTGACATCACTTGGCAGTCCCCTGGGTCCCATTCACCTGTAACATGGACGGTGTTGGATCTTTATAAGAAGTGTATTTCCAGCGAGCGCGTGAATTATTAGCATATATATATATATACCCTTCAGCTGTTCCTGGGGGGCCGGCTCTTACCTGATAAGACTTCCAGAGTACCAGCTGCAAGGGAAGCTGTGAACCTTCCTACATGATAATTGAAGAATGTAAGGCAGGAAAACACCATCCCAAACAGGAGCAGAGCGGTGGACAATATGAGCAGGCTGCTGGTGGCGTTAATATACCCTGTAAGGGAAACACAAACAGCAATCAAAGCCTCCCTTGTGTAGACATCCAAAAGCCTTGAGACTGCTGCTGGGTGCCGCCATCTTGTGATGTCAGCATCCCCAGTAGACTCAGAGCTGTCACACAAGTGATGCCCTATAACATTTCCCTTTGCTCTTCCCCCAGCTGGTTATGTTGGGTGGTGAGAGGTGGTGCAGAGGAGCTGGGCTAGCAAAGACAGCAATTAGACACTCCCAGAAGAGGGGAGGGCTTTGAAGTGCAAAGAGGGAGGGGACTGTGTTAGGGAATTGACTTGCTGCTGGGTGCCTCCATCTTTGATGTGATGTCATAAGCCCCAGCAGATTCAGAGCTGTCACTCAAGTAAATAAACTGTTATGTAGGGAAGTGAGGGGAGGAGTAGACAAGCTGGGCCAGCACAGACAGTAATTAGACACTCCCAGAAGAGGGGAGGGCTATGAAGGGCAAAGAGGGAGGGGGGTGTGTTACGGAATTGACTTGCTGCTGGGCGCCTCCATCTTTGATGTGATGTCAAAAGCCCCAGCAGATTCAGAGCTGTCACTCAAGTAAATAAACTGTTATGTAGGGAAGTGAGGGAAGAGGCAGACAAGCTGGGCCAGCACAGACAGTAGTTAGACACTCCCAGAAGAGGGGAGGGCTATGAAGGGCAAAGAAGGAGGGGCTGTTTTAAGGAATTGACTTGCTGTTGGGTGCCTCCATCTTTGATGTGATGTCAACAGCACCAGCGGACTCAGAACTGTCACTCAAGTAAATTAAAGGTTATGTAGGGAAGTAAGGGGAGGGGCAGACAAGCTGGGCCAGCACAGACAGTAATTAGACAGACACAGAAGAAGAGAGGTCTATGAAGTGCAAAGAGGAAGAGGGCTGTGCTAGGGAATTGACTTGGTGCTGGTTGCCTCCATCTTAGATGTGATGTCAGCAGAAGTAATTAAAAGGTTATGCAGGGAAGTGAGGGGAGGGTGGAGGAGCTGGGCCAGCATATACAGTAGTAAGACATGTTAGAAAAGGAGAGGGGTATGATGTGCAAAGAGGAAGGGAGTTGTGCTAGGTTAATTGAGCCTTCCTTGAGAGGTTACATTTTGTAGCAAGTTCAAAGACACATTCCATAAAAACGCTGCAATCGGTAATCGGTAAGAATACTTGAATTTTCTGTGCTTCCACCTACAATTTTTAAAGACGGTGACGTACATATTGCAGACAGACATCGACATATACGTACAGCTGACAGACATAGACCTTACCTCTCCCGGTGATTTTCGTGCAGACGTTATTGGTACATCGTTGCCAGATGCCTTCATGGTAGAGGCCTGAGCCAAAATTCACCAGCCAATAGTCGCTAAGGATTCCTGTGAGCCCCAGAATGAAGCTCAGACTGGAGCTAATGAGACCGCCAACGTTGCCCCACAACATCTTGCTCAGCGACTTCCAGAAAACCAGCTATGAACCACTATGGGAAGGGATATGGCTTTCATCAGTTGAACGCACAATATGGAGGATGTCACGGTTACAGCACAAAGAGTAATGTGAAATCACCACCAATCTGCAGTCAGTTTTCACCAATGTTCCAATAGACAAGAGATGACAATCATCCAATTTATTTAGTTGCAGCTGAAACAGGTATGGATCTCGTGCAAAGTGGGCAGATAGGCAACCATTGGTGGCTAGTGAGAGTTTGTCTTGGCCATGTGCAAGAGAGCCTACTAGGATTGTTTCCGAGATTCAGATGATATTAGATGTTGACCACAATTCTAGATTTGAAGGGTCAAATCCAAATTCCAGTATTATTTTTGGCAGTTTCGAGTCCCAGAAGGTTTCCAGGAAAAAGAGTCCGAAGGCCTTTTCTGCCTTATATCTGCTTCTGCTGTTGTTTGAGTGCCCTTAGCTTGACTGCCAGTCCCACCATGTCCCACCCTTCCATCATAGCATTCCTGGTGGAATTTTCAATGTAAGTGACTCAGGATGCCTTATGGTCCAATGATCTCGTCAGGCTAGGAGCTTCCCAAACTATCCTGCGCAATTTTTCACCATTTGCTGCTCTCTGATACATTGAGCCAGGTTCTGACTTACGCTGACTTCAAAGGGGCTGCCAATTCCACCATGTCCCACCCTTGTATCTTAGCATCCCTGGTCGAATTGTTAAAGGAAGTTTCTCAGGTGCTTTATGGCCTGAGCATCTCATCAGGACAGGAGCTACCCAAACTATCCTGCACAATTTTTCATCATTTGCTGCTCCCTGATGAATTGAGCAAGGTTCTGGCTTACACTGACTTCAAATGGGCTGCCAGTTCCACCATGTCCCACCACTGTATCTTAGCATGCCTGGTCGAATTGTTAAAGGAAGTTTCTCAGGTGCTTTATGGCCTGAGCATCTCATCAGGACAGGAGCTACCCAAACTATCCTGCACAATTTGTCATCATTTGCTGCTCCCTGATGAATTGAGCCAGGTTCTGGCTTACACCGACTTCAAATGGGCTGCCAGTTCCACCATGTCCCACCCCTGTATCTTAGCATCCCTGGTCAAATTGTTAAAGGAAGTGTCTCAGGTGCTTTATGACCCAAGCGTCTCATCAGGCCAGGAGCTTCCCAAAGTATCCTGCACAATGTTTCATCATTTGCTGCTCTCTGATAAATGGAGCCAGGTTCTGGTTTACACTGACTTCAAAGGGGCTGCCAGTACCACCATGTCTCACCCCTGTATCTTAGCATCCCTGGTCAAATTGTTAAAGGAAGTGTCTCAGGTGCTTCATGGCCCGAGCATAGGGTTGCCACCTGTCCAGGATTCACCCGGACAGTTTGGGTTTTGAATGCTGTGTCCGGGTTTCATGGCAGCAGAAACCCAGACACAAGATGTCAGGCAGACAGGGGCAACCAAAACTAAGATAGGGCTACTCCCCCCCC